AATGCCCATGGAGGTCAGAAGAGGGTATCGGACCCCCTGGAACTGGAATTATGGACAGTTGTTAGCTGCCGTGCTGGGAAATGAACCTGGGTCCTCTGCAAGCACAGCATTGAGATCTGCATCAGCAAACCTATTTCTGTAATTTCAAAAGCCACTAAACACTGAGCACCCTGGAGGGATGTGGCTACTAATTTAAGTCATCAGCTGAGTTGAGAGTTCCATCTTATCAGGACTGTCTCCCTTAATTCTCACCCTGGGGCTGTGGCAGGCTAACTTCAGGCCCGTGGTCTGTGCTTGTTCTGTTCTTAGGACCCAGGGAAGGTTCCCATCAACACCATGCCCAGCCACAACCATCATGGAGAGTGACCTCTCCACTGCTGGGCCATCCCACCCCAGGAGTTACAGGTCAAAACCCACAGCTAGATTTAAGGCTTGTGAGACTCGTGGGTTTTCCCTGTGGGGCTTGGTCTCCCCAACGTTGAGACGTCCCTGCCCTCTGTCCACAGGGGAGCTGCAGGCTGGCACCGTGAATGGCTTCTTTGCACTGAGCTGCCTTTCCGATTCTCTGTACTTTTCCACTGGCTTATCACTGAATTTCTGGTGCTTGTCTTCTCTTAGGAGTCATTTGTTATCCTGACTCCCCTCACCATGTCACTGAAGCAACCTGCAACCCACCATCCTTCCTGGAGCTCTGTTTAACCTGTTTTCCTAAAGGGGTATCTCATTTCACATCGTCACAGGCAATGTATAATCTCTTTCAAAGTCATTTCTTTACATCCTTGCCAATGTTTTCTTACCCATTTTCCTGGTTAGTGCCATCCTGCTTGGGTGAAGTGCTACCTCGTGGTTTTGATTTACAGTTCCCTAACAATTAATTGTGGTACTCTGTTTTAGATGCTATGGTTTGGATATGGTAAGAGGATGCCCTCCCAAGAGTCTGTAAGACAGAAGTGTGATCCTCCCTGGAGCAATTTCCAGAGATGCTTGAACCTTTAAGAGTTGGGGCCTAGTGAAAAGCAGAGAGCTTCACAAGGAATTAATGTAGTCCTCTTGGGACCCTGATTACTACTTCCAAGGAAATTGTTACAAAAGAGCAAGGCTGGCCGCTCCCACCTTCTGACTTGCTGTCTTACCCTGCGGTATTCTCTTATCACTGCAATGCCATTCACTGTGAGGGACTCTGCTGGATGGTGGGAGGGGACGCAGAAGCCTCATCCAAAAGGTAAGCCAGGCAGCCTGATGAACCTCCAAGAGGTGTGTTAAACCTCTTTTCTTCATAAAATACCCAGACTTGACTATTTTATTACAGCAAAGAAAAATGAACTAACAACAGTGTGCTTATTGGCAACTTACCTCTCTTCTTTGGAGAGACGTTTGTTCAGATTCTTTGACCCCCACCTCCTTTATTTGTAAGAATAGTTTACTTTGTATGCTGCAAGGGAGCAGTGGACCAGAGTACTGCCTGTCCCTTTGCCTGTTTTCCTGTGTATTGTCTTTTTTGTCCCTTTGCCTGTTTTCCTGTGTATTGTCTTTTTATCAAGTTTTAACAATTCTTTGTACATTCTGCATACTAGAATACTATTCCTCAAAGAATACTAGCACACTTTCACAGAGAATTGCATCATCCTAAAAACATTCTCCGTACTCGTTCACCCCAGCACCAATCACTAAAACATTGTGTTTACAGGGCAGGCCCATCCACCGAAGGAAAATGTCACCTGAACACTGACATTATGAAGTTTTACTCTGCCCTTTACAAGCCTTATGCATATCATGTGTGCTGTGTACAGCTCTGCAGTTCAAGTGTCTGTAGAAATCTAGTTACACCGTGGAGCCTTGGGTTTCTGGTACGCCCTTATATCCAAAGGTCTGTTATTTCCTTTTCTCCAGTACAGCCCCAACAGGGTTTCCAAACAGGCCTCAGTTTGGGGATCAGAATCAGCAAATGCCCACAGGGGAGAAAGCTGCCAGAACATCATTTAGCCTCAAAAGGGTTTCCTGCTCTGAAGTCCAAGCTGGGTAGCTTTTATAGCTTGAACTGTGTTCTGGAGTTTTAAACATGAATGCTGTGTCCAGTTCTTAGTCCGGTTCTTCCCCCCCTGTATTGCAGCATTGTGTTGTGTACAACTGTTGACTACCTATTATCACCAGCTGTCAAAATGTTTTGATATCTTATCAAATTCCGTATCTTACCTCAAGATATCAGCTAATTTTTCCCTATAAATTTCCAAAGCCTATTTACCTAGTTTCCAAAACTCCTGTTGAGATTTTTCTTGGAAAATATATAGTTTGGGTGTGAAATGCCCCCAGAGGCCCTGTAAAAGCTGTTGGGAAGTGAAAGGAAATGAGGTCACTAGGGCATGCTCTTGAAGAGCCTGGTGGAATCCCTGGCCTCTATCTTCTTTTGCATCCTAGCTACCATGAGGTGGAGAGATTACTTCCATGTTCCCATGGCTTCCACAGTGAGGTTCTGTGCTGCCACAGGCCCAAACCAATGCGGCCAAGAAACCACAGCCTAAAAATCTTTGAAAATGTAAGCCAAGATCACTTTTAACAAGTTTCTTATGTCTGATATTTTGTCAAAGTGATGGAAAGTTAACATGAAAATATTTATAGAGACAAACTGAAAGTTTTATGCTTTTTATGAACATGGTACACCTATCTACTGGGTGGATTTCTATTTGACTTTTCAACTCTTTGTAGTTTTCTCCACAAAAGAACTGTATACGCTTTGCCAGATTTGATCTTAACTAGCTAACAATTTAGATTATTTTTCATCTTTAAAAACTTTTCTTTCGGGCCGGGCATGGTGGCGCATGCCTTTAATCCCAGCACTCGGGAGGCAGAGGCAGGTGGATGCGGATCTCTGTGAGTTCAAGGCCAGCCTGGTCTACATAGTGAGTTCCAGGACAGCTGGGGCTACAGGGAGACCC